ATCTGTTAAGTAAGTACATATCACATGTTACAAAAGTGAAACAAGGATCATAATAACATCTGGATTTAAATGTTTAAGTAGAAACAAAATCATCCCTACATTTTGGATAATTAATGAATAATAAAATCGTGCAGTTTTACAATTTAACATTAAAAAGAAGTTGGCTGAAGACTCAGATTCAGGTAATAATGCATTTACTTAACAGCTAACAGTTACATGTTAAATATAATTATTAAACTGAAAGAAGATTTTTTTATCTTCACTGTAACAGTGAACTGGTGTTGAAATCATTAGTGGTCTGAGGGCTCCTCCTCTGGTGGCTTCATGTTACAAGTGTTCAGGCACTGAGGGGTTTTTGTTCAGGTCTACTGATCTCTGGCACAGTAATACACAACAGAGTCTTCAGGCTGCACATTCTGTCCGTGTAGAGTCACTGTGTTACTGGAAGAGTCTAAGTCGATACTGAACTTGTTCTTCAGTGAATCTTTGTAATATATGTTGGATCCAGCTCTGCTTCCAAGAAAATGTTTTGTAACAAATGATCAAGTTATACTGCAAAAGAAGAACTGTTGACTTTGACAAATCCAGAGAGACTCACTAACAAGGAAGGTCACTGAGTTTGCATAGAATCAAACATATGAAGCCTCAATGTTGGTCTAACTGGAGCCAATAGAAGAGTCTGTTGACTGTTATTATATCTGCAGAGTGAAAACATGCCTGGAAATCACCTCTGCTTTACATATGATATTTTAATTTCATTACACACTCAACTTTAACATTATGAAAATGTCTCTGCACTTACAAAAATTTTACTTTTTATTAACTATAAACGTTGAATGTCTAAATGTATTGTATTACAACAATCTTGTATTAAATATTAAGTAAATTCTACAATAATAGTAAACAACATGTATTGATCATTATTGCTAATCTCAATGTGAATATTATCACAACTCATGGATGATTGAAAACATTTTTAAAAAATCAGCATTGCAATAACAATGATGATGTGTACCCATCGAATAAAATGGATCACAAATGTTGCTTTCTATGAGCCGTGTTAACAGTGTGTTTATCATGTTTTTAGGTAATGAAAACACACTTTAAATATGATGTGAGTTATTTTATTCACTGTCAGCACCTCCTACATTACTTTCATGACTAACTTCAAACATATGAGCACAGTCTCTTTGTAATGTAGAATTTGTTTATTAATTTATTTGCTCATTTACTGCATTTACTTAATGCAGCCATGGTGATATTAATTGTATGAAAACTTCAGTCTGATGCTGGTTTGCATGAAATACTTTTAATGGTTTCAGTGTTTGCAGATGATCTATTTCTTTTCTGCTAAGAATGCAGAGGTCAGTCAGTGTCAAGTTTCTCTCTCCTCTGTTACTAAAAAGGACAATAATGTCTGTAAATTATGTTTAAATATTAAGTTATGATGAAGAGAGTCTTCTCTTCATACTAAAAGGAGACTCTCAGATCTGGTGTTCTAATTTATCTTAACTGACTGACACTTGAACTCTGGACTGAACTAAGGCGTAATACTCCTGCTGCTCATGTACACTGGATATTGTGAGAGTTGATACCTTTCTACCCTAAATAAAAGTCCTGTGTTAACTTGATTCAGCAAATGTTTTTCTAATGTTTGAATGTCTGTATTGTCTTAGTTCTTATTTTATGACATAAATAAAACAGTTTTTTTTTCTTATAAGTGGTCTGACCATTAACACCTTTCACAAAAAAAAATCATATGAATTTAGTAGCTACATAATTTAGAACTTTGTCAAATCGAGATCAGGGAATCTTCACTTGCTCAGCAGATATACAAGCAGTCACATGCTTAATTACATTTACAGAGCGAACACAGGGAAACACAGGGAAAACAACTGAGGTCACGGCTGAAGGCTTATCCTTTTAAGTCAAACACATTTAAATACTCAACTTCTCTGTCAGGAAGTAACAAACCACACAAACTCTACTGACTCTTTTATTTATTTAAAGGCATACTATGCGGTTTTCCGGTTTTGTCAAACAGCTACCCCTAGAGTCGCTGCGGAGTACTTGTACTTAACGTTAACTCGTAAATACCACTCACCAGAGCCGTCTCTATATACAGCTCTGCGTCTCTGCACTCACGGCCTGATCCCCTCCCCCCTGTATACCGGTACATAGATAGATAGATAGATAGATAGATAGATAGATAGATAGATAGATAGATAGATAGATAGCAGTGGAGGAAATAGTCAGTAATTATTTAATGCCAATATTAAAAAGTTGAGGCATTCTTACACAAAAACATAAACATCATATTGCACAAACACAAGCCTTTCATTTGCATTTTAAACTCAACTTGTAAACAATTGACTTCTTCTACACATTTCTTTGACGTGCCCTTAAAAACGGTAGCTGTCTTCAGGTGCTCCTCCAGCACACTGTCAAGGGAGGCAACAAAATCCACCAAGCCCCGGAAAATGCCGGGGTTGTCCGAGGAGTCCGAGTCAGTCTCGTCATGACCACGCAAGGCCAACTCAAAAAGCCCCACAAAGCTTCGATCATTTTGGATAAAATGTGCCTGTTTTTATCCATCTCCTCATTATGTTTCCTCCCCCGCAATCCTGTGGCCGTCTTCCAGCTGCATATCGATGTTCACCCTTCCTAATATGGCGAGCTGTACAGAGTTCTCCATGTGTGCCCTGGTGTTCTCATGTTTCTTTACCTTCTCTGACAGGTGCTTCATATCCCTCACTCCGGTAACTGTCCATGCTGGATCTGTCCCCGTTTTAAAAAGCAAGCACGGAAAGCAAAATAAAGCATTAGCATGAGTGCACCCAGCTAGCCACGCCTTCCTGGTGTACCAGCTACGGGAGAAGCCGCCGCGCATATACTGCTTCCCTTTCTCGCTAGCCTGCTGTCTGATTGAGAGCTCAGGTTGATCTGGGCCCAGCTCTTTCACCCGAACTTTCTCCGACAAAGTTCTCCTCTCAAACGGATCTTGGAGGAGAGATTTCACCGAGTTAGGGTTGGGTCTTGGAGGGGTAACGTTCGCGCTCGCCATTGTCGTCTAGTAAAAATGGCGCCTCTAGAGCCCGGTCCTTATTTTATCAGGGGCGAGCTTGGGGCAATAAAATAATCACCCTTCTTGGATTCGATTTAAGGACGCTGATTTGCTAAATTTTATGTCATACATTCACATCTTAAATTAGCTTGGCTTAACTGCTACATAGTCCCGCCTCCTGAGGGCGCTTTCTCTAAAAGCCCCAGAGCTGATGAGGCGTTCAGACAGGCAGAGGAAAGGTTGCGAATATGATTTTCTATCATATTTTACACATATTACTGGGTGCATTCCATATTTCAAACACACAAATATTGACATACTGACATTTTTATTATTATTATTATTATTATTATTATTATTATTATTATTTTATTTATTTTTTTGTGGCTCAAGGGGGGGCGCCCTAGCGCCCTCTATTGGCCAGCCGCCACTGATAGATAGATAGATAGATAGATACGTTAGATAGATAGATAGATAACTTTATTAATCCCACAATGGGGAAATTCATTTGCATACAGCAGGTCCAAGGTCTTATTGTCTCTGGTGGTGCATGTGACAAACTGGTGGAAGGTTGGGAGTGTGGACGAGAGAGAAACGTGGTTGAAGTCCCCTGTGATGATGATGAAGGCCTTTTCATTGTGTTTCATTTGCAGTCCTGCAGTCACAGTGTGGATGATGGACGTAGTCCGAGGGCGACGAGCTCGATGTCCGGGCTGCAGACACTCTCTTTCACACAGACTTACCGGGGTTACACCACCTGTTGTTTATGAGCACAGCAAGTCCCCCTCCTTTCTTCATGCCGGTCGCGGTGCTGTCCCTGTCGGCTCGAACCGTCTGGAAGTCGGGAATGGTGACGTGGGAGTCCGGTATCTGCTCGTGTAGCCACGTTTGTAGCACCTCCAGTATGGAGGGTCTCTCTCCAGTCAGGATGCTCGGGGGCCTCAGGGCGATCATCTGGTCGCGGGTGTAAACAATGCGACTCCCCCGTCGCCATGGAGACCCGTGTAAACAAAAAAATAAAAAGTGCTCAAAAACGCCAAAAAAAGTATTAAGGCGACGTGAACAAAGTAGTAAGAAGGTAAGAAAACAGTTAAAAATAGAAAGAAACAGGCTAAAAACACACTGAAAACACACTAAAACTACAACAATGATAGGAGCTGCCATAACAGGCTGCCGTTGTCGAGGCGCCTTTCCAGAGTGGCAGTGGCCACGTGAGGCACCCAGCAAGCTGGTTATTCACCTGAAAGCTCTGGATGTGTCCCTGAGACAACTGCTCTGACCACACACCACACAGAAAATAACAAACCACAAAAATAAAACAAGCCCAAATGGACCATGTAGCTATACCTGACCAGGGAAACTCCACAAAAGCCAAAACATACCACACTAGAGGACCAAACAATCACTTCTGTTAGCTCCTACCTGCATACTCATGTCAACAGCTGCTGGATGCAGGACCAAACTCCCCCTGACTGAAACAACAATCATATCAACCAAATCTTATCCAAAAATGCATCTCCCCAAACAAAGGATGTGCTCTGTGTTGTAATACTGAATGTGAATGATTTATCTGAACTCAGTTGCTCAGTATTAACTTCTAATTATATGAGCCACCTTAAAATGAGCCTGTATTCATGAACAGAATTTTGACTCTTCACATTTTCCCTTTTGGTTTGAACGGTTTTACTTATACACATACTCAGCTTTGACACTGAGTTGCTGTTTGTTCATTCATGGAGATTGAAAGTCAAACACAGCAGTAGTGCATATATTAATATCTTTAAAATAATATTATTTCAGTGGAACCTGGACAGAGGAATTTTGGTAATAAAAAATAAAATATATGTTAATTACAGTCAGAAAGGCAGGACAAGTGATGCTGAAACAACGAGTGCTCAGAGTGACGGTAAATCGAGGAAGTAGTTTTTGTACGACTCTGCTGTTATTGTCTCTCACTGTGTCTGTCGGGCACAGTAATACACAGCAGAGTCTTCAGGCTGCACATTCTGTCCGTTTAGAGTCACTGTGTTACTGGAAGAGTCTAAGGTGATACTGAACTTGTTCTTCAGTGAATCTTTGTAATATGCTGTGTATCCAACACGTTCCATTCCAATCCACTCCAGTCCTTTCCCTGCAGGCTGTCTGATCCAAGCTGTGTAGTAGCTGCTAACAGAATAAGAGACCTGACAGGTGATGGTCAGACGTTGACCTGGCTGCACAGTCACAGAGGCTGGCTGTGTCAACTGTTCACACTTCACACCTGTTAAAAAAGAAAATGTTTTGTAACAAATGATCAAGTTATACTGCAAAAGAAGAACTGTTGACTTTGACAAATCCAGAGAGACTCACATCCAGCTGCCAACAGCAGCAGCAGAGCTACAGAGAACATGGTTTATGTTGAAACTGACGTGCTGTGAACTCCACTGACTGCCTGATGGGAAGTTTTTATAACTGAGTAACAAGGAAGGTCACTGAGTTTGCATAGAATCAAACATATGAAGCATCAATGTTGGTCTAACTGGAGCCAATAGAAGAGTCTGTTGACTGTTATTATATCTGCAGAGTGAAAACATGCCTGGAAATCACCTCTGCTTTACATATGATATTTTAACTTCATTACACACTCAACTGTAACATTTTGAAAATGAAACTTTACATTTAGAGTTACAGAAATGAAACAACTGTAACCTTTGCTATGACTATAAACTATTACTGTCTAAATCTTTACTATTAAAACATTTTTTTCTAGAATTACAAACAATAACCAGGATAATTATTCTTAATATGAATATTAACATGTATCATGGGTAATGGAAACATATTTATTCAAATCCATCTACTTTGCTCACTGACTGTACTTACTGACTGTATCTGCTTCAAACAGAAATACAGTGACAGCAGTGAGGACCATGTAAATAATATGAGAACTGTCTGCAGGTTTGCATTAAAGACATTTAAAAGTTTCCATGTTTGCAGATGTTTGAAGACGACTTAGAGCCTCGAGAGGAAAACAGTTGCTCAGGAACTGAAACCTGTGAGACAAAATGCAGAAAAATATAAACCTTTGGTAGGTTGTGCATTTATAAGTTACTGTTTGTATTTATCATCACATTTTACCTTCATGTGCAGTTGGGTCAGAAATATGTAGCAATCCACCATTTTCTTTTTACAAATTCAGCTGTTTTATTGCAGTAAATTGTCAATATTCTCTCCACAACTTTTATATATTTCTCTGCAGTTCTAGTTAATTACAATAATTATTTAATTCCTATATCATTTGTTACGATATAACATATTTTTATATAAAGTATTTATTTACATACACAATATATGTATTAAAGTAAATGCATTTTGTTTCCTCCACTTTCTTGCCGTCTCTCAGAAATGGTTTTAATGAATCTACAGAATGTGATGGAAACATTTTCTTGTTTTGTGCTTTAGTTCAGTCCAGAGTTCAAGTGTCAGTCAGTTAAGATCAATGAGAACAGCAGATCTGAGAGTCTCCTTTTAGTAACATAGGAGGGAGAAAGTAGACACTGACTGCCCTCTAGTGTCTTTATAACTGGAACTGTGACATTATTTTTCACTCTCATACTGTGAGCTACTTTAGATGCCAAATGATATAAACATTAATGTGTAGCTGCATGTCTTTCTTTTATTCAGACCTGGACAGTGATTTCAGCAGACTGTTCGGCTGTCATTAGCTGATCTGTGAAGAAGTGATCATTACAGGAAGAAATTGTATTAATTTAGGTGATTAATTTTTATTGTTGTTGGATGATCTTCCTCACAGATTGTTATGTTTTCTTAAAGAAAAGAAGCAAAAGGGAAAAAACAAAAAAAAAAAAAAAAGATGCCTGGAAATCACCTCTGCTTTACATATGGTATTTTAATTTCATTACACACTCAACTGTAACATTTTGAACATCAAACTGTAAACTTTTCATTAACTAAACTATTATTGTCTAAATGTATTGTTTTGGCTACATTTCAATATTAAAACATATCAGTTTGTATAACTGCAACAACTGTATTGATCATTATAGCTATTCTTGATGTGAATACGAATCATAGATAATGGAAAACATATTCAATAAAATCAGTATTGCAATAACAATGATAATGTGCATCCAATGAAACAAAAGAGCAACCAGAATGTTGCTTTCTATTAAACATGTTTACAGTGTGTTCAGTGTGTTAAATTAATTACAGCAGACTTTGAATATGACACCACATTCCTGATGAAGTATGAGCACAGCGTTTTACTGCAGCATTTGTTTATTCATTTATTCGCTCACATATTGTATTTGCTGCAAACAGAAATACAGTGACTGCAAGGATCATGTGAAACTTCAGTGTTCAGTGAGTTGCTGATGATGTTCGTAATGAGGGAAGAGTTTGCATAGAGCTCCCTCTGCAGGTTTAAAAAGGGAACATGGAACACCAATTAACTTAAAATAGAGAATTATTTCTACAAGAGAAAATAAAATTAATGATAGTTGGTGTTTCTGTATTTGAATGATAAACTTGAAAGTTTTGTTATTGTTTTTGTACACAAAAAGAACAAAACTTGTTTTCTTCTCCAAGCATCAACATACAAGAACACAGGTACAAAACATGTTTTATGATTATATATTTTAATTTGTTGTTAAAAATATATGGAATGTGAAATACAGAACAGAAAAGATAAACACAAATCTACATTTAAACTAAACTAAAACATACAATTATACATACATATATACTATAAAAAATACTTAATGCTCTCACTATTGGGCTGTTGTTCAGCTATTGAGGAGTTACTTTGAATGAAGTTCTGTGGAATATGCAAAATATTCCAAAATATATACAGTAATATTATTTCTACATTTATATGTCTGTTCTAATTATTTTTCTATTCAAATGTAAGTGGTTCTCACAAAGGAAATGTATTCTATCATTTTCTTGGACTAGTTGAAGCGAGGACATTTATCATGAGAGATTATTGTGGTAAAGATGAGTACTGTAGGATTTTGTACAGCTTCTCAACCAACTCCAGTCACTGTGAGTCTCGAGCACAATAATAAACAGCAGAATCTTCAGTCTTCAGACTGTTCATCTGCAGATACACCTGCTGTCTGCTGTTGTCTCTGGAGATGGTAAACCGGCCTTGAACTGACTGAGAGTAGTAGATGCTACCACTGCCACTGCTGATAAAAGCAATCCACTCCAGTTCTTTTCCAGGAGCCTGTCTGATCCAAGTATTATCATAATGACCACCAAACCCTGAATATGTACAGGTCAATCTGTGAGATTCTCCAGGCCTTTTGACCACTGGTTCAGACTCAGTCAGTGTTTGACCCTCAGTACCTGCAGACAGTTAAACACATCATTAGTTACTGTAATACAGCCATATTGTCTTTGTATCAGGAGGTTTGTCAGACAAACAATGATTGTTCTTACCTGCACAGTTAATAGACAGGATGAGAAAAACAACCAAATAATCCGGTCTGATCATTGTAAAAGCCAGTTGTCTCTGTCCAGTCTACAGTGTGTATGATTTAGTCTCTGTCCTTCACTCTGCAACACATATGTAGAGATGGAAGAGATCAGAGTTTTGCATTGACTCCTCCTCCTCACAGAGAAACACACCACATCTCACACATCTCTGAAAAAAACAGGATTTAGATCATTTTATATTATAATGATAATTTTTAATGATTACGATGTCCATCAAGTTATTTTACCTGATGTTTATACCAAATTGTATTTATTTATATTGTTCTGCAGCATTTAGTAGTACATCCATATACTGGATATATCATGCATAGATATGTTCTCAACACCTGCTGGTAAAAAACAATAATGAGAACATTATTAACCAATATTATTGTATAGAAAACAATATGTTAAATGTAAGACTGAGAAAGTGGAAGACACAAACCACAACATCAGCTGTTGTTTTCATAGTGTGTATGTGTTTGTTAGACTCTCCAGTTTGACTTATCTGCTGCCACCTGTTGGTCTTTGTAATCAAATGTTATGTGGAGTTTTTGTAAAGCCTCTCTGATCTTGTAAAAAGTGTACTTAAAAATTACTGAAACGGAACGGACAGACTCTGACACAATGAGTGAGTTAGTAAAGAGCCTTCCCCCGCGCAACAGAAAGAATGAAGAAATTATCCAACAGCAACGGGGGAAGGATTTCAAAAGAATGTATTTATAAAGGGCAAATCGTGAAAGGGTCTCATATAATTGATTTTATTTAAAAAACCTTTCATGATCCAGGTCATGATCACACCTCATGTACAAACTTTTCAGCTTAAGCCTATAAACATTAAAATATTCTCAATTCTGACATTATAATAAAGAATACATGAAAAAGTTTATCATACAATTGTTTTGCATAATCCATCCATAGGAATGGAGAAACACTCAAATGATGATTTTTATATGAACTCTTCATTTCATTAATTTGTATTGTATGTGTGGTGGCGAGGATAAGGGGAAAATAAACCTAATAATTTGACCAACAACCAAATTAGGGAAAGGAACCGACAACGCCACCCTGGGAATTTCACCCAGAGAATTAATTTGGAAAGGACACAGGTAAGTTTACTCAGTAAGGCATGAGACATGGTTCAGGGAATTATAGAAAAATATACAATTTTATTATTGAATAAGTTAAAAAGAGTTCGATTTCATTCAGCGTGGAGACTCGGCGAAGCAAAGCAGCATTTGAAACAGGACAAAGCAGCAGCGACCCCAATCAGCTGATCGCACGTTACACCTGTTTAGGGACACACACATTCGCACCGGAGGAGGGAGGGAGGGAGGGAGGAAGAGAGAAGACCGGCCACTGCTGGCATTTACCACGCACAAACTACGCCACACATATGGGAAACACGGAGCAGCTGCCCTGTCGGGTCAACGACCTATGAGCCGGAAGTGACACACCAGTGACGACAGAGGCGCAAAAGGAATAGCCAGGAAGGGTGGTGGCTTTTATACTGGCCCACCTCATGACGGCCACCTGTGGCGCTAAATACCCAACAACAGCACTGAATGACAGATAGCACATGTATACTGCTACAATAGCAGACTGTGAGGAAGGTCACTTTGCATAGAGAAGGACACTGACAGCCTATAAAAGAAGGATCAACTGTCCCAAGTAGTAAAACCTTGGAATTGTGTTATGAACATGTATTTTGACACATTTGAAAGGAAATATATTTCAGTCACAAGGACAGAACTTTGTCAAACATAGACACGACCTGTTGAACACCAGAGTCTGTAGTTGGTGGGTCAGTGGCAGCAGGAGCTGGATCAGAGACTGCAGTAGGAGGTAGGGACAAGGAAGCAGGCTTGTGTGGGCCCACCAACATGTTGTCTGACCGAGGGTGACTGCAGGCCAGGGTAGAAGCAGGCAGAGAAGTATGAGGGGACTGTGGCTGGCATGCAACTGAGGCAGTTTGAGACACACCAGAACTGAAATGTTGAAAGGAGTCAGTCACAGGGCTCATACTGTAAGCTGACAAACCCACTGCATGTCGGGACTGGGCTGCTGTCTTCCTCACAGTTCTCATGCGACTATCCAGACGCTCCTGAACCTCAGCTGCGGTCCACCGCTCAGGTGCCTTCAGCTGGAATGACATGGCAAGACTGGGGTCGGGACAGTGATTAATGAACATCATGACCACTTCAGCACTGGGGTTCTCTACAGACCTGCCTTGCCTCCGGAGGCACTCGTCAGCAGCACCGATGGACTTAGAAGTCTTTCATGGGCAAGTTGGAGAATGACAGCTCACTAAAGTTACCTTTCAAAATGTCAAACACAGCCGTGGGTAGGTCAGTCGCACTCAGTTCAGGGCGGCTGTGGAGCGAGACCTTCACCACGTCCCTAGCTTTGCCTGTTAGTCTTGACATTATCAGGTCAAACATTTCAGCATGAGTATCACATTTAACCCTATTCAGGTAACATCTCATCATGTCCTCCCATTCATGAACAGAGAACGCATCAGCATGATCACCCCTGAAGAAAGGCGGGGCCTTGGCCTCAGACTGCACAATGACCTTCAAGTGTGATAAACCAGCATGACTGGATGACTGACTCGTAGGAGACTGAGGCTGGACGATACTGGGCTGGTGCATAGTGCTAAGGCTGGCTGAGATGTTATCACCAATCTGTTTAGCCAAATCTGTAATCATATCCCCAAAAGTCTCAACAGAGATGACTTGTGTAGGCTTCTGGTCTGACTGGATAACTACCACTGCCATAACACAGTGAAGAAATCTGCTGACCCCTCCCCACCCCAAAGGTGACATCCCACCCATGACCAGCCATAGTATGCACCTTAAAAGTATCTTCCCCGGACATTACAAAGGAAGAGCAATACTGGCAGAAACAGGAGACAAAATAAATAAAATAAAATAAAATAACACCTTAAACTGAAAACACACTATAAACAGCTATGTACAATTCAACAGTATGAGCCTAGCATGGCATAGTATAAACAAGGAGCATAAAAACCCCATAAGGCAACTAAAATTATATGTGCATAACCACTTATATGGGATGACAGGGAAATGTTGCAACACTGATGCAAAACAAATAGGCCCACAGAATACTTGACCAATAAAAATTATTAATTAACCTGTCTTCATTAGGATCATTATGTCTTCTTATTCCATATACAGTACAGTTTATTCTTAATTTTTCCCTTCAAGTGTCTCTTCAATGCACTGGCTGGCCACAAAAGATTAACCAGCATAAACCAAAAAGAAGTAAAATCAGGAGAGAAGATGGAAAGAAAAAAAAAAAATTAAATAAATAAATATATATATATATATATATATATATATATATATATATATATATAGCTGTATATACACTTAAAAACAGTGCATGAGCGTCTCTTTAATCCTTTAACTGCCTAACGCACCTCGCGTGCGCGCGCACTCGGGAGCGAGCGCAGTTCCGCGCAGCCACAGAGCGGGGGGAGCAGGAGAGAGGAGCCAGGTGTCAGCAGGTGTACCCCGGGGATCAGACGAGCGCTGATCGGAGATGCAACGGGTCGTCACGGCACCAAGTGTAACCGGTTAGTTTCTGGCGTTGTCTGCGTTGTGTTTTGATGAAGAGGCCCAGACCAGGATATCTTTAGAGGCGATCTCCGTTTATTCTGACAAAGGTGTAAATAACAACAATATCATCCGGCCAGTTGTTATCAACGTGAGCTCCTCTCCCATGGAATACAACAGCAAAAGGGGGAGAGGCAAAAGCGTGAGACACATTTATAGGGGGGGGGACCCACGAAAGTGAACGTCGGGGTACAGAAACTGTGTCTCAAACGTTCCACATATTGACTCAGGAGGACGGACATGTCAGGTTATAACTATTAAAACAGATTTTGTGTAATTATAATACTACATATTACTGTTATATATTTGACTCTGTTACACATATTACTGCTGTATAATTGACTCTATTACACTTGGCTGTTTTGTAAGAAAGTGATGTTGCAGTGAACCTTTTTTTTCTTCTGTTGTAATCAGTTAAGAAAATATACTTGCTGGAGTAAATGAGCATGATTATTTAGTTTTATTGTTATTATTTACACCATGTCCACTTAAAGTACTTGATGTTGTTTGTACAGAATTAAAACACTAATTCCTGTCTACAAAACAGTTCAGTTTTATGTTGGACTGTGTTAGACTTTCAATGAAGAGAAAATATTTATTAACAAAGACAACAATGTTTCTGAAATGGAGTGCTCAGTGTTGATTACTAATTTCATAACACACCCTAAAATGTACTAAAAGACAATATTCAATCTATGAAGTAATTATATTAATATATTTAACATCAATTGATTTTATTTTTAATGGAACCTGTTTGAATAATATTGTTAATGATTAATATATTTATTTATTGAAATTAGTGATGCAGTGACACTGAAGCAACTGAATGTTCCCAGTTATAGTTGTAAATAGAGGAAGTAGTTTTTGTATGACTCTCCTGTTATTGTCTCTCACTGTGTCTCTGGCACAGTAATACACTGCTGTGTCCTCGGTCTTCAGACTGTTCATCTGTAGATAGAGTTTACTGCTGGAGTCATCTCTGGAGATGGTGAATCTACCCTGGACTGACTGGGAGTAAGAGATCGGAGAACTATATGTGCCTATATAAGCAATCCACTCCAGTCTTTTTCCAGGAGCCTGTCTGACCCAGGCCATATAATAGCTGCCTAATGTGAATCCAGAGGCTGTACAGGTCAGTGTGTGAGATTCTCCAGGCCTTTTAACCACTGGTTCAGATTCTGTCAGAGTCTGACCATCAACACCTGTCAAACCAAGAAAGATGTATGTTATGTGTTACATTGGTAGCAAATATGAAAATATTCCAAATAAAGATCAGTGAAGATGTTCACCTGCCCAGCAGATAGTTAACAGCAGCAGTCCTGTCCTATAGTCCATCATGTTAAACTGTGTGTCCACTGTTCTCTGTCATCCTCTCTGCAGTCAGATAAGTAGAGGTGGAAGACATCTGAGTTTTGCATTAACTCCTCCTCACAGTGTGGAACTGGATTTGACTTGGATCTCAGTTGATGTTTGGTGAAACTGCAGAATGAATGTTTACTGTACATTAGTCATTCCTCCAAGAGTCCCTCTTGCATGTTTCAGTATAATTTGTGCAACAGGTTGACAAACACATTATTTAAGTTGGTTGACCCTTATTAAAGACCACATTATAGACCACAGTCTGCATCATGTGGAGACCTTGACAATAGTTTATTAATTTTACCATACACCTAAAGTGAGTATTTTTAAATACATTTTAATGTAAAGAAATATCAACACCTTAAAAAATGTTGTTCATTATGTTACAATAGTGATTTTCTCACAAGAAAATGTCTGTCAAGTGTTCATAAGTCATACCATTTTCAAGATTTCAGGTGAACAAAAAACTGAGTAGCAATAACAGTGAAGAATACATTTGAGAATATGAATTAAGCATTGAACAGGAATAACATGTAACTCTTCAATACATGTTTGACATTAATAACCATGTTTTTCAGTCAATGCAAATAAATGATTTACATTTCTGAGGCAGACAGAGAATTTTTTTTTTTTTAAATGCCTCCACTGTGTTTTTGATATCATTATTATTCTATATTATTTTCTTAATTCTTATCATGTCTGTTTCTGTCTTCACTGTAACAGTGAACTGTGTTGAAATCATTAGTGGTCTGAGGGCTCCTCCTCTGGTGGCTTCATGTTACAAGTGTTCAGGCACTGAGGGGTTTTTGTTCAGGTCTACTGATGGTTTGTGTTATTGTGTCTCTCTAGCACAGTAATACACTGCAGAGTCTTCAGGCTGCACATTCTGTCCGTTTGGAGTCACTGTGTTACTGGAAGAGTCTAAGTCGATACTGAACTTGTTCTTCAGTGAATCTTTGTAATATGTGGTGGATCCAACTCTCATTCCAATCCACTCCAGTCCTTTCCCTGCAGGCTGTCTGATCCAAGCTGTGAAGTAGCTGCTAACAGAATAAGAGACCTGACACCTGGCTGCACAGTCTCAGAGGCTGGCTGTGTCAACTGTTCACACTTCACACCTGTTAAAAAAGAAAATGTTTTGTAACAAATGATCAAGTTATACTGCAAAAGAAGAACTGTTGACTTTGACAAATCCAGAGAGACTCACATCCAGCTGCCAACAGCAGCAGCAGAGCTACAGAGAACATGGTTGGTATTGAAGGAGATCTGATGGGAGCTTCTCTTCTTCTGCTGCAACTGACAGCATGATATCAAGTCTTTATAGCAGACTGTGAGGAAGTTCACTTTGCATAGAGAAGGACACTGACAGCCTATAAAAGGAGGATCAGCTGTCCTGTCCAAGTATTCATAGCTACTATACACATATACTGAAGCACACACATACATAAAAAGCCTACTTACACACACATATTAATACATTCTGATAATCTTTTGTATTATATATTTAAATCAAATGAAAATGTAAAGACATGAGACGTGAATAGCGTATATGGACTTTAATGTCACCACTTAGATGATTGGTTCAACAAAGTTGATGAATTTGCTATAAAACTAACTTTTAATACTCATGAAGTTAGTGGAGGTTAATATATAAAAAATTTAATATTGAATGTTGCAAAGCTTTTTTAAAGGATGTTGCAATAATAATATTATAATGTTGTAATTAAATAGGGTTGTCTACTTTTAAATGCAGGTGCACACACTGAAAAACTGTTTTTTATTTAATAAATATATTTCAGTGATAATCAGTCATTCAGTGGTAAACTGTTTTCAAAGGGCTGACATGCTTCAATGCTTCTCACACAGGGATCAGTGTTGTTCAGTTTTTGTGCAGCGTTGCAGTCTGGTGTGTCACTGTGGCTCTCGTGCACAATAATAAACTGCAGAGTCTTCTTGTTTCAGACTCCTCACCTCTAAGGACACAAGGTTTTTGGAGGTGTCTTTGGTGATGGAAAACTGGCCTTGGAGACTTTGGGCAAATATTGTGCCAGTTCCGCTATCAATGCGTCCGATCCATTCCAGTCCTTTCCCTGGTTTCTGACGAATCCAGTGCAGCCAAGCCAGAGTGAGTCCTTCCACTTTACAGGACAGAGTGACTGGTTCTCCAGCTCTGCTGACCACTGGCTCTGAGGAGGTGAGGGACTGACCCTGAGCAGCTGAAAGAGACACAGAGTTTAGATGACGAGGAGCCAGCAGACATCCAAAGCTCATTTTCTCCTCCGCTGGACACTGACTTCACTCACCTGAAATGAGAGCCAAGAGGAAGAAACTTTGTAAAGCTGTCATGGTGGGAACTTGGCTGAGTCTGCAACTGCAAAGGTTATTATGAAGGATATATAATGTGCAGGCAGAATGGGTGGGGATTGTGTATCAGTGTGTGAATTTGCATTTTACCAGTCAGACATTTTGGAGTTACAGTGTTGATACATAAAGACTAAATCTGTGAGAGAAGGAGGAGTGCTAGACTCTGAGAGAGAGAGAGAGAGAGTTAAAAACAGACAGAAACACCAACAATAAAGATGTTGTTCAGTCTTTCTTCTTTTTCTGAGTGTCTTCAGTTCAGTGTGAACTCCAAACTAAATGAACACATGAAGCTGCAGTCACTGCTGATCCAGCACTTCAAATGTTCTATTAGTGTTGTGGTGAAGCGAGCTTACAAAGGGTGTGAGTATAAAACTCTAGTTCAGTCCAGGGTTTGAGTGTCAGTCAGTTGAGATCAGTGAGATAAGCAGATATGAGAGTCTCCTTATAGTGACAGAGGAGAGAGAAACTTGACACTGACTGCCATCGAGTGTTTTTATAACGGGAACTGCAACATTATTTTTCATTCTTATAATGTTCCAAGAGGTAAATTTGTCTTCATATCTCAAAGGGGCTTTATTCTATCAATTTTTCATGATTTTGTTAATCAATTTTTTTTATTGACTTCATATTATTCATTGTATATATTTATGTTATTTTAGGTTTGTAATAAACTTAATTTGTGCCATTGGTCCTAATTTGAAGTATCATACTATCAGATGTAGTCTGTCTTTTTTAGTTTTACCCAATATGCCAATTAATTGTAGCTTTCCCAAAATAATGATTATCTGTTTCTTTTCAGATGACATTTACTGTATAACTAATGTTTTCAAAAGAAAGTTAACATTTTTCTGACTGTCTCTTAGAGTAGTTTATTATTGGCTCCCAGGGACCCCAGTCAGTACTCCTGATATGTTCAGTTGAGGGTTAATATTCCTGAAATGTGTACATGTAATATTTATTTCATTCATTTTTGGACAATGATTTCAACCAATTGTTGTTCTGCCCTTGGATGTTTTGTGAGGAACTGATGATTAATTTTATTTTTTTAATGATTTATGTTGGTGGTTAATAATAATCGTTCAGTTTTCAAAACAACGACGACAAAAGAAAAAAAGCCCAATTAAGATAAGTACTGGAAGTTTTTGTACAGCGTTGCTCCTTACTGTGTCACTGTGGGTGTCGAGCACAATAATAAACAGCAGAATCTTCAGTCTTCAGACTGTTCATCTGCAGATACAGCTGCTGTCTGCTGTTGTCTCTGGAGATGGTAAACCGGCCTTGAACTGACTGAGAGTAGTATTTGCTGCTACCACCACTCTGAATCCTGGCAACCCACTCCAGTCCTTTTCCAGGAGCCTGTCTGACCCAGTTCATAGCGTAGCTGCTGAATGTGAATCCAGAGGCTGTACAGGTCAATCTGTGAGATTCTCCAGGCCTTTTAACCACTGGTTCAGATTCTGTCAGAGTCTGACCATCAACACCTGTCAAACCAAGAAAGATATGCATGTCATATGTTACATTGGCAGCAAAAATGAAAATATGTCAAATAAAGATCAGTGAAGATGTTCACCTGCCCAGCAGATAGTTAACAGCAGCAGTCCTGTCCTATAGTCCATCATGTTAGACTGTGTGTCCACTGTTCTCTGTCATCCTCTCTGCAGTCAGATAAGTAGAGGTGGAAGACATCTGAGTTTTGCATTGACTCCTCCTCACAGGGGGAAGAGAGCTGAGTTAGACTTGGCTTTCAGTTTATTGTTTTGTTGCTGGAGAATCGATGTTCCATCCAAATGTCCAGACGTGTTTTACTGTAAAATATCTATGTATGAAAACCACAAACATATTTCCAAACTTTATTTTTACAAAGCTTTAATTTTTTTTTCTGAAATATTTTACGTTTACAAATGTAGGTGTGAAATTCCATATAATATAATTTATCTTGGGATTATGGCTTCTCAGTATTCCCTGTAAGCATATTGGGCAGCACATGAGCTTGTATGTCTTTTCAGTTTAAATTCAGATCATTTATCTTTTGTACTTGTGAATGTGACATAGGTAATTTAGAATAATTACAGCTTTGAAGGGATTCTATTATTGTGATTAATTTAACTTCCTAAAAATAATAAATACAGTACTATATAGAAATATAATGTGGATATGTGAAAGTGCTTTTGCAGGTGGTGGGGAGAAAACCCAGATATCAAGATCACACTGCTGTTTGTTGTCTGTGGAGGTTTTTCTTGCAGCTGCTCCACTGTCTTCAGTCACTGTGTCTCTTCGAGCACAGAAGTAAACAGCAGAATCTTCTGCTGTCAGGCTGTTGACCTCGAGGTACTGAGTGCTGCTGGGTACATCTTCAGTCATGATGAAACGACTTTGAAAGGAGCTGGAATAGCTAGCAGAGTTTGAACCTGCATCCATCCTCCCAATCCACTCCAGAGCTTTCCCTGGCCTCTGTCTTATCCAGTGAATATAGTAGCTTGTCATGTCAAACCCAGATATGATACATGACATCTTCACTGTCTCTCCAGGTCTTTTCACCTCAGAGGGAGTCTGGTCCAGTTTGATCTCACTCCAAACTCCTGTAAGTAAAGAAATATATGTGTCATACATAATATATTAAACATTACATTTTATTATATCAGAATTGATTTTCTTACCATGAATAGCCATTAGAAATATTAGACTCCAGACAATCATATTTTCCATTCTATAGTAAATTGTGGAGTTCACTGATTTCTGATCAAAGTCTTTCTAAGATTTATAAGACTGTGTCAGTTGTCCTGCCTAAAATGATTTCACAGTTGCTGTTGGTGTGTTTATAAAGAAGGAAGAGTTTGCATAGACCTCCCTCTACAGGATTAAAAAGGGAAGATAGAAGATGAATGCACTTTAACTGAATATTTGAACAACAGGAAAAAAATACAAGGCATTGCACTGTAAACATACTACATGTAAATGCAACCAGGTGGTAAAAGCAAAAGCTCAAGTATACGGGATATTTAGGAAATTAAACCTCTGTAAATAAAATGCTCTGTAAGTAGAGGTGGAAGACATCTGAGGTTTGCATTAACTCCTCTATGCTTTGTGTTGTCCAGTCATATTTTCACTATATTTGATCATATTTTTGCCCAGTTTTAACTTTATTCAGTATGGTCTGACAATACAATGAAATCAACATGAAACAGACTTCCTGTAAAGGATGATGATTTACAGTTTTTACTCATTCTCTCAAAAATCAACAGAAACACTTCCTTCCTTACTGGATATCAAAAGCACATCATTTTATTATTTTAAATGTGTTTCACCACAAAGATTTAGTTAGTTTGCTGAAACTGAACAATGCATGTTCACTATAGGACTCACTGTCGACTGTGACTCAAAGTAGAATAATTATTTATTGTATTGTGTGATGATTGCCAGAAAGACACTATATTTCCAATATGACAATAAACTAAACTAACAAACTCTTATATACTTAACATCTAATCATGTCCTACCTGACAACAAACAAACTGTACTGAACATACTCAAAGCTTAAATTAAAAAATGATTAACATTTCTTTATATAGGTTTTACAGCGAATTTACAGGAACAACTTTCTTAAAAAGAGAAGATTTAAATTCTACTTCTCTATATTTGCAAATTAAAATGAACATTTAATCAAATGAGATAAAATAAAACTGAAATATTCAAATAGAGGAAGTAGTTTTTGTACAACTCTCCTGTTATTGTCTCTCACTGTGTCTGTCGGGCACAGTAATACACAGCAGAGTCTTCAGGCTGCACATTCTGTCCGTTTAGAGTCACTGTGTTACTGGAAGAGTCTAAGTCGATACTAAACTTGTTCTTCAGTGAATCTTTGTAATATGAAGCTCCAGTATTTCTCATTCCAATCCACTCCAGTCCTTTCCCTGCAGGCTGTCTGATCCAAGCTGTGAAGTAGCCCAGAGAATAAGAGACCTGACAGGTGATGGTCAGACGTTGACCTGGCTGCACAGTCACAGAGGCTGGCTGTGTCAACTGTTCACACTTCACACCTGTTAAAAAAGAAAATGTTTTGTAACAAATGATCAAGTTATACTGCAAAAGAAGAACTGTTGACTTTGACAAATCCAGAGAGACTCACATCCAGCTGCCAACAGCAGCAGCAGAGCTACAGAGAACATGGTTTATGTTGAAACTGACGTGCTGTGAACTCCACTGACAGCCTGATGGGAAGTTTTTATAGCTGAGTAACAAGGAAGGTCACTGAGTTTGCATAGAATCAAACATATGAAGCCTCAATGTTGGTCTAACTGGAACCAATAGAAGAGTTTGTTGACTGTTATTATATCTGCAGAGTGAAAACATGCCTGGAAATCACCTCTGCTTTACATATGATATTTTAATGTCATTACACACTCAACTGTAACATTTTGAGAATGTCCCTGCATTTACAGAACTGAAACAACTTTAACTTTGCTCTTACTGTAAAATATTACTGTCTAAATCTAAACAAGTCAATATTAAAACATTTTGTAATTTTTTGTATACTTGCAAACAATTATAAGGATCATTATTACTAATCTAAATGTGAATATTAACATTAATCATGATACAGAACATATACATTAATGTAACAATGATGATGTGCACCCATGGAAACAAAATGGACAATCACCAATAATGTTGTTTTCTATAAGACATGTTTACAGTGTGTTTATCATGTTTTCAGATTATTAAAACACACTTTAAATATGAAGTGAGCTGTTTCCCTGAGATATTTTATTAACTGTCAGTACCTCCTACCAGGGTTGGGGGGTTACTTTAAAAATGTAATCCAATATAATTACTGATTACCTATAAACATGTAATCAGTAACCTATAGTCCAATTATCAAAATATTAAAGTAACGTGACTTGATTACTTTTAGTATCAAAATGGAATATGCTGTCATACTTAACTAAATGTCTAACTGGAGCCAATAGAAGAGTCTGTTGACTGTTATTATATCTGCAGAGTGAAAACATGCCTGGAAACCACCTCTGCTTTACATATGATATTTTAACTTAATTACACACTCAACTGTAACATTTTGAAAATCAGACTTTACATTTACAGTGATAGAAATGAAATAACTGTTAACTGTATTAATGATTAATGCCTAAATGTATTGTATTGGCTACATTTCAATATTAAAACATGTCAGTTGTATAACTGCAACAATTATATTGATAATTATTGCTATTCTTAATGTGAACATAAATCATGGATAATGGAAAATATATTTATTAAAATCAGCAGATGTTTGAAGACATACAGAGAAACTTGGAGCCATCAGCCACTGGAGTTGTTGATGATGTTTGTAATGAGGGAAGAGTTTGCATAGAGCTCCCTCTACATGTTTAAAATGGAACATGGCAGACAGATTATCTTAAAATAGAAAATGATTAGTTGGTGTTTTTGTATTTGAATTATAAATTTGGAGGTTTTTTGTTTTTGTTTGTGTACACAAAAAGAACAAAACTTGTTTTCTTCTCCAAGCTTCAACATACAAGAGCACAAAAAACATGTTTTACGATAGTACTTTTCAGGAAATGGTTTTATAATGCAGGGACAAATATTCATATATTGTTCAAAATATATGAATACAGAAAAAAATCTACATGGAAAATATAATAAAACATATAATTTCATATATACTATAAAAAATATTTATTGCTCGCAGTATTGGGCTGTTGTTCAGCTGTTGAGGAGTAATTTTAATGAAGTTCTGTGGAATATGCAAAATATTCCAAAACATATTCAGTAATATTATTTCTACATGTATATGTCTGTTCTAATTATTTTTCTATTCAAATATAAGTGGTTCTCACAAAGGAACTGTATTGTATCATTTTCTTGGACTAGTTGAAGTGAGGACATTTATCATGAGAGATTACTGTGGTAAAGATGAGTACTGTAGGATTTTGTACAGCTGCTCAACCAACTCCAGTCACTGTGAGTCTCGAGCACAATAATAAACAGCAGAATCTTCAGTCTTCAGACTGTTCATCTGCAGATACAGCTGCTGTCTGCTGTTGTCTCTGGAGATGGTAAACCGGCCTTGAACTGACTGAGAGTAGTAGATGCTACCACTGCCACTGCTGATATAAGAAATCCACTCCAGTCCTTTTCCAGGAGCCTGTCTGACCCAGGCCATAGGGTAGCTGCTGAATGTGAATCCAGAGGCTGTACAGGTCAATCTGTGAGATTCTCCAGGCCTTTTAACCACTGGTTCAGATTCTGTCAGAGTCTGACCATCGACTCCTGTCAAATAAAGAAAGATATTCATGTCATGTGTTAAAGTGGCAGCACAAAAATATATATAAAATAAAGATCAGATATGACCTTCACCTGCCCAGCAGATAGTTAACAGCAGCAGTCCTGTCCTATAGTCCATCATGTTAAACTGTGTGTCCACTGTTCTCTGTCATCCTCTCTGCAGTCAGATAAGTAGAGGTGGAATACATCTGAGTTTTGCATTGACTCCTCCTCACAGGGAGGAGAGAACAGGGTTGGACTTGGCTTTCAGTTTATTGTTTTGTTAAACTGGAGAATCAATGTTCAGTCCAAATGTCCAGATGTGTTTTGCTGTAAAATATGTATGTATGAACCACAACCATATTTCCCACATTTATTTTAACAAAGCTTAAAAGAAATGTATTCGGAAATCTGTCACATTTACAAATGTAGGTGTGAAATTCCATAAAATATATTTATCTTGGGATTATGGCTTCTCAGTATTCCCTTTAAGCATATTGGGCAGCACATGAGCTTGTATGTCTTTTCAGTTTAACTTCACATAATTTATGTTTTGTACTTGTGAATGTGACATAGGTCATTTAGTATGAATAATGCTTTGAAAGGATTCTATAAATTCATTCATTCTATTATATATAATTTAACATACTAAAAATAATAAATATTTATTCATGAGTTTACAGTATTATATAGAAATATAATGTGGATATATGAAAGTGCTTTTGCCAGTGGTGGGGAGAAAACTCAGATATCAAGAAGATCACACTGCTGTTTGTTATCTGTGGAGGTTTTTGTGCAGCTGCTCCACTGTCTTCAGTCACTGTGTCTCTTCGAGCACAGAAGTAAACAGCAGAATCTTCTGCTGTCAGGCTGTTGACCTCGAGGTACTGAGTGCTGCTGGGTACATCTTGAGTAAAGCTGAAACGGCTTTGAAATGAACTGGCATAGCTTGGAGTGTTTGTATTTGTGGTTTTCACCCAATCCACTCCCGAGCTTTCCCTGGCCTCTGTCTTATCCAGTTAATAGCATTGCTTGTCATGCTATAACCAGATATGATACATGACATCTTCACTGTCTCTCCAGGTCTTTTCACCTCAGAGGGAGTCTGGTCCAGTTTGATCTCACTCCAAACTCCTGTAACCAAAGAAATGATGATCATCTTACATAAAATATTAAACATTACATGTTGTTATATCAGAATTGATTTTCTTACCATGAATAGCCATTACAAAGAATAAACTCCAGACAATCATATTTTCCATTCTAAAGTAAATTCTGCAGCTCACTGATTTCTGATCAAAGTCTTTCTAAGATTTATAAGACTGTCAGTTGTCCTGCCTAAAATGATTTCACAGTTTCTGTTGGTGTGATTATAAAGAAGGAATGATTTGCATAGACCTCCCTCTACAGCAGACTGTTTGGCTGTCATTGGCTGTTTTGTGAAGAAGTGATAATTTATTTTTTCATTTTATTTATTTAGGTGTTTAATTGTTATCCTTGTTGGATGATCTTCCTCACAGACCTTTATGACAGGAAACAAGGGGGAGAGGGAGAACACAGGGAAACACAGGGAAAACAACTGAGGTCCCGGCTGAAGGATTATCCTTTTAAGTCAAACACATTTAAATACTCAACTTCTCCGTCAGGAAGTAACAAACCACACAAACTCTACTGACTCTTTTATTTATTTAAATTACCTTTGAAACATGTGTGGAACTTCATTTGCTGTATGCAGATGTTCGATGCTTGGAGCCTCCAGAGGAAAACAGATGTTCAGGAACTGAAAGCTTTGTTACAATATGCAAATCTTGTTGCTTTTCTTTATCATTTCATCATTGTACAAGAAAACAATGATTAGCTTATTGGTGACTGCCTATAATATAGACAGTTTAACATTGTTGCTGAAACAGAGTTTGGAACTTCATTCACTTACTCCAACACCTCAGCTGTAGCTTTCATTTGAATGTAAAATCCTGCAAACTACAAAAAAGATGAGGTAATCAGAGAAAATGTCATGTTATACATTTCAGGAAAACATTTTATGGTATAATTGGTGTTTATATTATTTTAGAGATGATCTTATATCTGAAACCATTTTTATTTTATCTCTCAGTTTGCAAAACACATGTCTCTCTTGTTCAGGTGGTGAGTCCAAAGGTACCATTTACACATATTTGGGAGGTAGGAATTTGTACTTAAGCTCTCTCAAGAGATCAGGTTTTCCATTTAGTAGTATGATTTACAGATTTAAGTGATATAAGCTTTTAAAGAGATACATGTTTCATGTGAGATACATTAGTGTGGGACTGTCAGCCTAGTAAGGATGAGTACTGTAAGATTCTTTTACAGTTGCTGAGTGTCTCAGTTTACTTTGTGGCTCTGAACACAAAAATAAACAGCACAATCTTCAGTCTTCAGCCCGTTCATCTGCAGATACACCTGCTGTCTTTGTTGCCACTGCATTGACTGATATATGCAATCCAGAGGCTGTACAGGTCAATCTGTGAGATTCTCCAGGCCTTTTAACCACTGGTTCAGATTCTGTCAGAGTCTGACCATCAACACCTGTCAAGAGGATTAAACAGTAGAATCAGGACCCCAAAAAGTAATGATAATGATGATGATGATGATGATGATGATGATGATGATGATGATGATGAGCTGGCAGTTGGTCATATATATGCATGACAAGTCATAAGACATATGAAGAAATGTGGACACAGTTTCATCACTACTACAGAACATGTAATCAGCACCACTGTATAAAATAGAAAGTAGTCATTCTGCATCATCTGTAAACATTTCTTCAGAGGAAAAAGACACAAAAATGAAAAATAAACAATCTTGAAAAGAAAAAGAGGCTTTAAATTCTAATTGTCTATATTTGCAAATTAATTTAACATTTATTCAAACGAGATAAAATAAGACTTTGAAAAGACAAAACAGTCTCATAGCAAATCAAGTAATACTGAAGAAACAGTGTTACCAGTGTTGGTTGTAAATAGAGGAAGTAGTTTTTGTGCGACTCTGCTGTTATTGTCTCTCACTGTGTCTCTCTGGCACAGTAATACACAGCAGAGTCTTCAGGCTGCACATTCTGTCCGTTTAGAGTCACTGTGTTACTGGAAGAGTCTAAGTCGATACTGAACTTGTTCTTCAGTGAATCTTTGTAATATGAAGCTCCAGTATTTCTCATTCCAATCCACTCCAGTCCTTTCCCTGCAGGCTGTCTGATCCAAGCTGTGAGGTAGCCCAGAGAATAAGAGACCTGACAGGTGATGGTCAGACGTTGACCTGGCTGCACAGTCACAGAGGCTGGCTGTGTCAACTGTTCACACTTCACACCTGTTAAAAAAGAAAATGTTTTGTAACAAATGATCAAGTTATACTGCAAAAGAAGAACTGTTGACTTTGACAAATCCAGAGAGACTCACATCCAGCTGCCAACAGCAGCAGCAGAGCTACAGAGAACATGGTTTATGTTGAAACTGATGTGCTGTGAACTCCACTGACAGCCTGATGGGAAGTTTTTATAGCTGAGTAACAAGGAAGGTCACTGAGTTTGCATAGAATCAAACATATGAAGCCTCAATGTTGGTCTAACTGGAACCCATAGAAGAGTTTGTTGACTGTTATTATATCTGCAGAGTGAAAACATGCCTGGAAATCACCTCTGCTTTACATATGATAATTTAACTTTATTACACACTCAACTGTAACATTTTTAAAATGAAACTTTTAGATTTTACATTTAGAGTAACATAAATGAAACAACTGTAAACTTTGTTATTATTATAAACTATTACTGTCTAAATGTTGACTATTAAAACATTTTATGAATTTTTCTATAATTACAAACAATAACCAGGATAGTTATTCTTAATGTGAATATTGACATGAATCATAGATAATGGAAAACATATTTATTCAAATCCACATTGCAATAACCATGATGACACACTTTGAATATGACGTGAGCTGTTTTCCTGAAAGAATTTATTTACTGTCAGCACCTCCTTCATCACATTCATTGTTAACTTCAAACGTACAGTATGAGGATAATAAAAAAAACAAAATTGCTGTTGTAATTTCGCAGCATTTATCTATTCATTAATTTACTCACTGACTGTACTTACTGACTGTATCTGCTTCAAACAGAAATACAGTGACAGCAGTGAGGACCATGTAAATAATATGAGAACTGTCTGCAGGTTTGCATTAAAGACATTTAACAGTTTCCATGTTTGCAGATGTTTGAAGACGACTTAGAGCCTCGAGAGGAAAACAGCTGCTCAGGAACTGAAACCTGTGAGACAAAATGCAGAAATATATATACCTTTGGTAGTTTGTGCATTTATAAGTTACTGTTTGTATTTATCATCACATTTTACTTTAATGTGCAGTTGGGTCAGAAATATGAAGCAATCCACCATTTTCTTTTTACAAATTCAGCTGTTTTATTGCAGTAAATTGTCAATATTCTCTCCACAACTTTTAGATATTTCTCTGCAGTTATAGTTAGTGAACATGACAATAATTATTTAATTCCTATATCATTTCTTGAGATATAGCATCTTTTTTATATAAAGTATTTATTTACATACACAATATATGTATTAAAGTAAATGCATTTTGTTTCCTCCACTTTCTTGCCGTCTCTCAGAAACGGTTTTAATGAATCTACAGAATGTGATAGAAACATTTTCTTGTTTTGTGCTTTAGTTCAGTCCAGAGTTCAAGTGTCAGTCAGTTAAGATCAATGAGAACAGCAGATCTGAGAGTCTCCTTTTAGTAACAGAGGAGGGAGAAAGTAGACACTGACTGCCCTCTAGTGTCTTTATAACTGGAAGTGTGACATTATTTTTCACTCTCATACTTTGAGCAACTTTAGATACCAAATGATATAAACATTAATGTGTAGCTGTATGTCTTTCTTTTACTCAGACCTGGACAGTGATTTCAGCAGACTGTTTGGCTGTCATTGGCTGATTTGTGAAGAAGTGATCATTACAAGAAGAAATTGTATTCATTTAGGTGATTCATTTTTGTTGTTGTTGGATGGTCTTCCTCACAAATTGTTATGTTTTCTTAAAGAAATAAAAGTAAAATAAAACTACAAATCTTTTCTAAAGTAAAGTAAAGATGAGCACTGTAGGATTTTGTACAGCTGCTCAACCATCTCCAGTCACTGTGGCTCTCGAGCACAATAATAAACAGCAGAATCTTCAGTCTTCAGACTGTTCATCTGCAGATACACCTGCTGTCTGCTGTTGTCTCTGGAGATGGTAAACCGGCCTTGAACTGACTGAGAGTAGAATTTGCCACTACTGTCAGTATAGATCAAAGCAACCCACTCCAGTCCTTTTCCAGGAGCCTGTCTGATCCAGTTCATCCAGTAGCTGCTGAATGAGAATCCAGAGGCTGTACAGGTCAATCTTTGAGATTCTCCAGGCCTTTTAACCACTGGTTCAGATTCTGTCAGAGTCTGACCATCAACACCTGTCAAGATAAAACAAATATAAAGTGGTCAGCTGCTTTAAGCTGGAAGCATTTTAAAAACAACTTCAACTAAAGATCAGTGAATATGTTCACCTGCCCAGCAGATAGTTAACAGCAGCAGTCCTGTCCTATAGTCCATCATGTTAAACTGTGTGTCCACTGTTCTCTGTCATCCTCTCTGCAGGCAGATAAGTAGAGGTGGAAGACATCTGAGTTTTGCATTCCTCCTCACAGTGTGGAACTGGATTTGACACGGATCTGAGTTAATGAGTAATTTTAATTACATTTTGACAGAAATATGACACCTTAACAAACGTTAATTATGTTATACTGCTAATTTCTTCTCAAAGTGTTTATAAGTCAAACCACTTTAAGGATATCAGGGGAATGAAAACCTCAGTAGGAATAAAAATTAAGAGTCAATAGAAATAAATTGTCCACTCAGACATATAAACTCAAACAAAACTTCCAGTAAAAACTTTGTGACTGTCTGCAGTCAGATTATTAAAGGTTGAAGACAACTACGTTCTGCATTGACTCGTCCTCACAGGGAGGACAGAGTTTGGTCTTTAGTTGTTGCACTTGAGAAACGAGAATGTAGGAGTTGTGACATCAGCCAAATGATGATTCAGGCAAATCTGAATGTAATACTTGTTAAATTTCAATTGTCTTCAAAAGTTGAAATGTTTTTCTTTCTGTCATTTTATAATAAGACAAACTAAAACCAGAAACTGTCTATGAGAAACAAATAATATATGATGGCACAATTTTAATAAAGTATTAATGTTAAGTAGAGGCCTGGAACATAAAACGAGAAAATTCGATTTATGATCTGTGATGTGACTCTATGTGTTATCTGTATTTGTAAGATATAAATAACTTTTTTTGGTGCCTTAAATTCTCATTTTATTTAATTCTTTGTCCATCAGGGAGTAACTGTCCAACAAATACTCACTCACTGGGAGCATGGCTGATGGTGTTGACTGTATAGTTCAATCACAACCTTATGGAAGTTCTGACAGTTTGTTTAAAGGCACAGTTTCTGAATACTGGCTGTGTGCATTTCTCTGTAGAATGAGCTTTTTGATACTTTCACAGTATTTATACAGCACCTACCTGCTTTATAATCACACAAGACATGGAAATCTCACTTTCCACAATATGGGACCTTTAATTATTGAAATATGAGAGAAAATGTTTCACTCCTGCCTTATAGATCAAAAGATGGGGATATTATTAACCAGTACATTGTGGTAGATAAGCACATTAAACCATAAAAAAGATGAAGTGACAAACCACAGCCTCAGCTGGTGCTTTCACATTGTTTGTTTCTCTGTATGTGTAGGTATGATGCCACACTGGTTTTAAGATCTCCTGCTGCCCCCTTTTGGTGACTGGGAAGATAAGTTGTTTTTGTAAAGCTTATTTGCTCACTTAGATGACTGTGGCTGTCAAATCCCTGGCCATTCAAACCTGCCAAAGAAACAGATGTTAAAGGACACAAGAGTGAACGAGAGAGAAATAAACAGCAGAACATTAAATGTGTGCATTCTCTGATCAGTATTGCAGCATGAAGCAACATACAGGGCAGACAGAGTGCTGTCAGCAGTACAGACAGTTTGTCCATCATCTTGAGACTGAAGATGTGAACTCAGATGCTGCAGAAGTAAACCCTCTGTTTGTAAGGGAGGGGCTTATTTGTATGATGTATGATGACAGCCTGGGAGACCTTCTTCAGGTCAGTAAATGAGAGACACAGCCTGATCTTAATAATAACTGTGTTTCTGGTGTTCAATCCTTCTACTATTCAGTGAATTCAATAAACATAATTTTTTATCAAATAATCAGAGAGTACTGTTTTTATTAATGTTAACACTTAGAATATGTGTGTGGTTGAGTCACATATGTTTCTAGGTATTTGTGCAGGTCTGTTGGTGGTTTGAATCACTGTGGGCCGACGTACACAGTAATACACAGCTGTGTCCTCAGGCTGCACATTCTGTCCTGTTAGAGTCACTGTTCGAGCAGAAGTGTCTCTGCTGTAATTCAATTCAATTCAATTCAATTTTATTTGTATAGCGCCAATTCATAACAGAAGTTATCTCAGGACACTTTTCAAATAGAGCAGGTCTAGACTGAACTCTTTAAAACATTAATTACAGAGACCCAACAGTACCACCATGAGCAAGCACTTGGCGACAAGGGCAAGGAAAAACTGACTGTTAAAAGGCAGAAACCTAGGACAGATCCTCCGGCTCTAGGTGGGTGGTCGTCTGTCTCGACCAGTTGGGGTGAGAGAGAGAGAGAGAGAGAGAGAGAGAGAGAGAGACAGACAGACAGACAGACAGACAGACAGGTGCATAGCAACAAAAGTATTGGCAACGGCAATCTAGCAGGACCATGGCAGGAGGCTCCACCAGGATCGACAAGAACCTGCGAGACGAGAAAGCACAAGAACTCCGGGGAAGAAGTGAAGTTAGTAACATGCATAAATGGAACATGAATGAGTGCAGAAAGAGAGAGGAAGGGAGGAGCTCAGTGCACCATGGGAAATCCCCCGATAGTCTAGGCCTATAGCAGCATAACTAAGGGATGGTTCAGGACTCACCTGATCCAGCCCTAACTATAAGCTTTATCAAAGAGGAATGTCTTAAGCCTACTCTTGAATGTGGTGGGGGTGTCTGCCTCCCGAACCACAAATGGAAGCTGGTTCCACAGCAGAGGAGCTTGGTAACTGAAGGCTCTGGCTCCTGTTCTACTTTTAGAGACTATAGGAACCACAAGTAGCCCAGCATTCAGAGAACGTAGTGTTCTAGAGGGGTAATAGGGTACTATGAGCTCTTTAAGATATGAAGGGGCCTGACCATGAAGAGCTTTATAAGTGAGGAGGAGGATTTTAAATTCAATTCTACATTTTACAGGGAGCCAATGCAGAGAAGCTAGTACAGGAGAGATGTGATCTCTTTTTCTAGTTCCTGTCAGTACTCGTGCTGCAGTGTTCTGAATTAATTGGAGCGTTTTAATGGACTTATTGGGGCAACCTGATAATAAAGAGTTGCAGTAATCCAGCCTTGAAGTAACAAATGCATGGATTAGTTTTTCTGCATCTGTCTGTGATAGGATATGTCTAATTTTTCTAATATTACGTAAATGAAAGAAGGCGGTCCTAGAGGTCTGCTTTATGTGGGAGTTAAATGACAAATCCTGATCAAAGATAACTCCAAGATTCCTGACAGTGGTGCTAGAGGCCAAGTTAATGCCATCTAGAGTAACTATATCTTTAGACAGTGAGTCTCTAAGGTTTTTGGGGCCAAGAACAAGAATTTCGTTTTTTTCAGAGTTTAACATCAGAAAATTGCAGGTCATCCAGGATTTTATGTCCTTAAGACATGTTTGTAATTTAGATAATTGATTAATTTCATTGGGTTTGATTGATAGATATAACTGCGTATCATCTGCATAACAGTGAAAGTTAATGGAGTGATTCCTAATAATGTTGCCTAAAGGGAGCATATATAAAGTAAATAGTATTGGTCCAAGTACAGAACCTTGTGGAACTCCATGACTAACTGTAGTATTTATTGAAGATTCATCGTTAACATGTACAAACTGCGAGCGATCTGATAAATATGACTTAAACCAGCTTAGTGCGGTTCCTTTAATGCCAATTTGATGCTCAAGTCTCTGTAAAAGAATATTATGGTCAATGGTGTCAAATGCAGCACTAAGATCTAATAATACAAGTACAGAGACAAGTCCATTGTCAGAAGCAGTCAGAAGGTCATTATTAACTTTAACCAGAGCTGTCTCTGTGCTATGATGAACTCTAAATCCTGACTGAAAATCCTCAAATAAACTATTGTTATGTAGAAAGTCACACAACTCTTTGGCGACTACTTTCTCCAGAATCTTAGAGAGGAAGGGGAGGTTAGAAATCGGTCTGTAGTTGGCTAAAACCCCTGGGTCAAGAGTGGACTTTTTAAGAAGGGGTTTAATTACAGCTACTTTAAAGGACTGTGGTACATATCCTGATAATAAAGAAAGATTAATCATATCCAGTAAAGAAGTGCCAATTAAGGGAACAACTTCTTTAAGCAGCCTAGTTGGGATCGGGTCTAATAGACAGGTTGATGGCTTCGATGAAGAAATGATTGAAGTTAACTGATGAAGATCGATAGCAGAAAAACAGTCTAAATATATATCTAAGTTTACATTGACAGAAGTCCCTGAACTTGGAGAGCCACTGGTAACTGTTGATGGCAGTTGGTGATTAATTTTTTCTCTAATAGTAATAATTTTATTATAGAAGAAGCTCATGAAGTCATTGCTACTTAAGTTTATGGGGATATGTGGCTCAATAGAGCTGTGACTCTCTGTCAGCCTGGCTACAGTGCTGAAGAGGAACCTAGGGTTATTCTTATTTTCTTCTATTAGTGCTGAGTAATAGGCTCCTCTGGCATTACGGAGGGCCTTTCTATAAATTTTAAGATTATCTTGCCAATTTGAGCGATATTCTGATAATTTGGAAGAGCGCCATTTACTTTCAGATTTCCTAGCTACTTGTTTTAACTGGCGGGTTTGATGGTTATACCAAGGTGCTAGTCTCCTATGTTTTAATAATTTCCTTTTTATAGGAGCGATAGAGTCTAATGTTGATCGTAGTGAGCCTGTAGCACTATCGACAAGATTATCAATTTCAGAGGGACTAAAGTCGTTATAGGACTCTGTTAAATTCAGACATGGCATTGAATTAAACACTGAAGGAATCTCCTCCTTAAATTTAGCTACAGCACTGTCAGATAGACATCTGCTGTAGGAAGTTTTGCCTAATGGCTTATAATCTAATAGTATGAATTCAAAAGTTACTAAATAATGGTCAGATAGGAAAGGATTATGTGGGAAGACTATTAAATGTTCAATATCAATGCCATATGATAAAACAAGGTCAAGAGTGTGATTAAAACAATGAGTTGGTTTATTTACACTCTGACAGAAGCCAATTGAGTCTATTAATGATATAAATGCATTACTAAGGCTGTCATTGTCAACATCCACATGAATATTAAAATCACCTACAATAATTACTTTATCTGATTTAAGGACTAAACTTGATAAAAACTCTGAAAATTCAGATATAAAATCAGAGTACGGTCCAGGAGCGCGGTACACTATAACAAATAGAACTGGCTGCAGTGTTTTCCAGTTTGGGTGAGAAGACTAAGAACAAGGCTTTCAAATGAATTATAATTTAGTTTAGGTTTAGGGTCCATTAAAACGCTCGAATCATATATTGCTGCCACTCCACCTCCTCGGCCTGTGCCTCGAGGAATGTGAGTATTAATATGACTGGGGGGGGTGGATTCATTTAGGCTAACATACTCCTCGTGGGACAACCAGGTCTCAGTAAGACAAAGTAAATCAATATCATAATCTGATATTAATTAATTCACTAAAACAGTACAGAGACCTGATATTTAACAGCCCACATTTCATTCTCTCTCTACTGAGGAGTTAGTTTTAATTTTTATTAGATTTTTATGTTGAACTACTCTTGTTTTTATTTCTTTAAATAATTTAGGTGGTCGGGGGACAGACACAGTCTCTATGGGGTTTTGGGTGGGTGACTGTTCTAAAGAAAGCGCAGAGAAGTGTGTAAGACAGCAGCTCTGCTTCCTGGTCCTAACTCTGGACTGTCAGGTTTTAGAAATAAACTTCGCCATGTTGCTAGATAAGAGAGCCGCTCCATCCAAAGTGGGATGGATGCCGTCTCTCCTAATCAGACCAGGTTTTCCCCAAAAAGGCTTCCAGTTATCAATGAAGCCCACATCGTTTGCTGGACACCACCTCGACAGCCAGCGGTGGAATGACGACATGCGGCTATACATGTCATCACTATAACTGTACACTGTAACTGAACTTGTTCTTCAGAGCATTGTTTTGAGTAAGGCTACCTCCACCCCACTGATGGAAAATCCAATCCATTGGTTTTCCTTCACACTGTCTGATCCAACCTGTTGCATAGCTGTTATCAGTCACAGAATAACCAGAGACCTGACAGGTGATGGTGAAGGACTGTCCAGGCTGCACAACCATTGAGTCTGGCTGGATGAGATCAATACTGTTCACACCTGTGGAAACAGAAATCAACATTATCTCCATCATTCATCTGACTATTCAGTGTTTCTAATGTGTTTATTAGTGTGAATTCACTGAAAGCTCCTCACAGGATCCAGCTGCCAGCAGCAGTATCAGAGCTACAGAGAACATGTTGATGTTGAAGCTGAACTGATGTGAGCTCTTCTGTCCTCTCACTGACACACACACACTTCACTTCCTTATGAGCGACACACAAGGAGCCTAATTTACATCCTGATGACAGTAAATCAGCTGACTAATGTGTATTTAAATAATTCAACATTAGGATGAAATGTTCAGGCATTTGCCGTCATCTCACACAGACAGAAGGTGGAACTTCTTCTCTTTTCTTCATCTCTGACAATCACACAATAGATTGCTAATGAACTCACCATTGATTCCAGTTGACCTGGCTGCACAGTCACAGAGGCTGTGTCAACTGTTCACACTTCACACCTGTTACAAAAGGAAATGTTTTGTCACAAATGATCAAATTTTACTGCAGAAGAAGAACGGTTGACTTTGCAACCACCAAGAACGTTGCTCTCGATAAGCCATGTTTACAGTGTGTTTACATGTTTTCAATTGAATAACACTTTATTTGTGATGTGAGTGTTTTTTTTTTTTTTGTAATGCAGCATTTCTTTATTCATTAACTTATTCACTTACTGTAGTTACTGTATTTACTGCAAACAGAAATACACTGACAGCTGCCAGGATCATGTAAATTGTATGAAAACTGCAACGTGCTGCTGGTTTGCATAAAGACTTTTAATGGTTTCAGTGTTTGCAGATGGTTGAAGACATACAGAGAAAATTGGAGCCCTGAGGGGAAACCAGCTGCTCAGGAACTGAAACTTGTGTGACAAAATACAAAAAAGAAAATGATTTAGATTAGATAAAAACTACTGTAGTTCATTTTTGTCATTGTCACAACATTTTTCCTTTATCTGTGTGTGACTGTGTCAGAAATACATCTGAATCAAATAGCATGCAGTGTGGTTTATTTGGATTTTTTTGTTCTTGGCTTGTTATAATATCATTATGGATTATTATTATGGATTCTACTGTTTTTCTCTTGTACAGTGTTTTGTGGGACAATGTGGGACAAATAAAGGAATATCTTATCTTATTTTATCTTATTATTTCCAAATAAAATAGAAATTAAGCAAAAGTTTATATGTGATCATGGAGAGATGTAGCTACCTTTCATCCCTAAATAACTAAATTTGACAACAACAATTTGTCATGAATTGTGATTTAAATCCAGTCATAAATCAGTAAATGTATCATTGTGTGGTGTGTTGTATGATTTTGAATTGTTTGATCGGAGGACATTAATCAGTTGAGACAGTGCAGGGTCTCCTTTTAGAAAAAGAGGAGAGAGAAACTTGACACTGACTGCCGTCCAGTGGTTTTGTACCAGAAACTCAACATTATTTTTCACTCTCATATCATCACTGACTTTATATTCCACAATATGTTACTATATTGTGTCTTTATTTTTAGAAATGTTTAGTATTTGTAATATTTCAGCAGATTGTTGTGCTGTCTTTTATCAACAAGTGACCTTTATTGTGTTTCTTATGTGTTTGGTATTTAGAAATAAAATATGAGGAACAGTTTTTTGGACTTTTTATGATGCATGGACAATAATTATTATTCACAAAATATATGTTAAGATATAATGTAATGTAGAATATAGAACAATTGATCTAAAAAATAAAATAAACATACAATATGAATACTATAAATGCTAAGGCTCCACCAGTCAGTAAAGATGAGTACTGTAGGATTTTGTACAGCTGCTCAACCAACTCCAGTCACTGTGAGTCTCGAGCACAATAATAAACAGCAGAATCTTCAGTCTTCAGACTGTTCATCTGCAGATACACCTGCTGTCTGCTGTTGTCTCTGGAGATGGTAAACCGGCCTTGAACTGACTGAGAGTAGTATTTACTGCTACCACTACCACTATCAATCCAGGCAATCCACTCCAGTCCTTTTCCAGGAGCCTGTCTGACCCAGTGCATCCAGTAGCTGCTGAATGTGAATCCAGAGGCTGTACAGGTCAATCTGTGAGATTCTCCAGGCCTTTTAACCACTGGGCCAGATTCTGTCAGAGTCTGACCATCAACACCTGTCAAGAGGATAAAAAAACATTAAGTAAAAGACACTGATGATAAAAATAAAAGTAATGTAAAATTAAGGTCAGATAAACTCTTCACCTGCCCAGCAGATAGTTAACAGCAGCAGTCCTGTCCTATAGTCCATCATGTTAAACTGTGTGTCCACTGTTCTCTGTCATCCTCTCTGCAGTCAGATAAGTAGAGGTGGAAGACATCTGAGTTTTGCATTGACTCCTCCTCACAGGGAGGAGAGAGCTGTGTTGGACCTTTCTGAATCATCCTCAGTTGTGGAAGAGAGATTGAACTGTCAATCTCACCTCAAAACTTATTTTGATAAAATCAGGATTTTCTTCCCTTGCCACTAGATCCCACACATTGGTCCTTTAAGATGATACTTGTGTGGTGATATAAGAACCTAATTTCACGCCTGAATGAATAAACAGTCGCTCCTTCAGTCTTCCAGCTGTTTATCTTAAAATCTCTTTGAGTTGGTGAAATGGTGAACTACAGCTAAATGAACACATGAAGATGCAGTCACTGCTGATCCAGCACTTCAAATGTTCTATTAGTGTTGTGGTGAAGCGAGCTCACAAAGGGTGTGAGTATAAAACTCTAGTTCAGTCCAGGGTTTGAGTGTCAGTCAGTTGAGATCAGTGAGATAAGCAGATATGAGAGTCTCCTTATAGTGACAGAGGAGAGAGAAACTTGACACTGACTGCCATCTAGTGGTTTTATAACGGGAACTGCAACATTATTTTTCACTCTCATGCCAAACTATGTAAACATTAATGTGGTTGAAATATGTACATGTAGTATTTTTTTTTTATTTCTATGTGTTCATATTATTTCTTTAATTCATTTATTTTATTTTGTTCAGTGATTTCAGCAGATTGTTGTTCTGTCATTGGCTGTTTTGTGAGGAAGTGATCATTACAGTAAGACCTTTGTTTGATGGTTATTGTTGTTGGTTGATGATGATCTTTCTCAGAGCCAGTTTTCACGGCTTAATTAAAAACTATCTGTATATTTCACTGCATGGCTTCCCATGAAATTCTGAATTCAATAGTAGATCCTGCTGATTACACAGAAAACACTTCATGACCTTGTCTCCAGTTAAACTTCTGATCACCGTCTGTCCCTCATTCCCCTTTCTGACCACTCCGATCTTCAAATCTTTCCCCTTTATCCATCCCCTATTCCAACTGCGAGGGAAAAGAGCATCTCTGCTGTTTTAGCTCCAGCCCTCTGGAATCATCTTCCCCAATCACTGAAATGAATCTTTGGACTGTTTAAATTAGCTTCTAGAAACCAATCTCTATGGACAAGGCTATTTATAGATCTCCTGCCCTGTCTTTGTTTTTTGGGGTTTTAGTTTGGTCTCTCTCTTGTTGTCCTTAATTATTTTTTACTTTTAATCCTATTTTTTGTGTGTGTATAGTGCTTTAATAATAATCACTTACTTCCTTACATCTATTTTGTGTGTGTAACTGTATATCTTCTTTGTAAATATAATTTAGTCTTATATTATGTTCTGTTTCATAATTTAATTTTAAACATTTTTTTTAATTCAGTTGCTTTTAATTGTGTGATCCTGTTTTTTACAATGACAATTAAATTAAACCTTAAACCGATTACAGTTAAGATCAGTAATACTGTAGAAAGTGAATGTTTTCAGTGGTTGTAAATTGAGGAAGTAGTTTTTGTATGACTGTCCTGTTATTGTCTCTCACTGTGTCTCTCTGGCACAGTAATACACTGCTGTGTCCTCGGTCTTCAGACTGTTCATCTGTAGATAGAGTTTACTGCTGGAGTCATCTCTGGAGATGGTGAATCTACCCTGGACTGACTGGGAGTAATAGATCGGAGAACTAGATGTGTCTATATAAGCAACCCACTCCAGTCCTTTTCCAGGAGCCTGTCTGACCCAGTTCATAGCATAGCTGCTGAATGTGAATCCAGAGCCTGTACAGGTCAATCTGTGAGATTCTCCAGTCCTTTTAACCACTGGTTCAGATTCTGTCAGAGTCTGACCATCAACACCTGTAAGAAAAAAAAAAAATCACATAAATGTTGTGTGTACACAATTAAGGACTAAATATATAAAATCAATCAAGATCATCATCAAGATCTTCACCTGCCCAGCAGATAGTTAACAGCAGCAGTCCTGTCCTATAGTCCATCATGTTAAACTGTGTGTCCACTGTTCTCTGTCATCCTCTCTGCAGTCAGATAAGTAGAGGTGGAAGACATTTGAGTTTTGCATTGACTCCTCCTCACAGGGAGGAGAGAACAGGGTTGGACTTGGCTTTCAGTTTATTGTTTTGTTAAACTGGAGAATCAATGTTCAGTCCAAATGTCCAGAGGTGTTTTGCTGTAAAATATGTATGTATGAACCACAACCATATTTCCCACATTTATTTTAACAAAGCTTAAAAAAAATGTATTCGGAAATCTGTCACATTTACAAATGTAGGTGTGAAATTCCATAAAATATAATTTATCTTGGGATTATGGCTTCTCAGTATTCCCTTTAAGCATATTGGGCAGCACATGAGCTTGTATGTCTTTTCTGTTTAAATTCACATAATTTATGTTTTGTACTTGTGAATGTGACATAGGTCATTTAGTATGAATAATGCTTTCAAGGGATTCTATAAATTCATTCATTCTATTGTGAATAATTTAACATCCTAAAAATAATAAATATTTATTCATGAGTTTACAGTATTATATAGAAATATAATGTGGATATATGAAAGTGCTTGTGCCAGTGGTGGGGAGAAAACTCAGATATCAAGAAGATCACACTGCTGTTTGTTGTCTGTGGAGGTTTTTGTGCAGCTGAGCTGCAGGATTAGTTGTTCATCCATCTTCAGTCAGTCTCATAAGCACAAGAACACACAGCAGCTCCTTCCGGCTTCCTGCTGTTCATCTTGAGATCTGCCTTATAATCAAGTTAACACAGGACTTTGACTTTCCATCTGATTGGGTGTAAAATGGCGCACGCTCTGCTGCAACAGCACACACTGTGATTCTGCTTTGTTTTCCCCCATCTTCTCCTACTACTGTATCAAAGTATCATCCAGCCCATCCTCATATACTGCTCCTCCTGTTTTTACAACATGCTAACTGTCACCAACCGGACCAATTTCATACACATCACCAACACAGCGGCCAAGATAATCGGACTCCCCACACCCAATCTCACAGAACTAAACAACAGGGCCATCTCACACATTGCAACCACAATAGAACTGGACATTACACACCCACTCAATCAATATCTCACCCCACTGCCTTCTGGACGGAGGTACCGAACATTGAGGTGCAAGAAAGCTTGCTATGGGAAAAGCCTGATCCCTGCAGCTATTGCTGCTTTAAACAAAGGGGCGCGCTGAGTGTGTAACCTGTCATGTATTATTTAATTGATTGTTTGTTTGTTTTTTTTGTTTTTGTTTTGTTTTGTTCTGTAGATTTGTTAATTGTGGATAGCGTGTTTCTTTGTTGATTGTTTGGTTTTGCCTGCAGGTGCAGTGATGTGGACATGAATTTCCCCCTTGGAGGACAATAAATTGAATTGAATTGAATTGAATTGAATTGAATTGAATTGAATTTTGTTTAGGATAAAAAAGTATCAACTCTCACAATATCCAGTTTACATGAGCAGCAGGAGTATTACGCTTTAGTTCAGTCCAGAGTTTAAGTGTCAGTCAGTTAAGATCATTATTTATTTAGGTGCTTACTTCCTCACAGATTGTTATGTTTTGTTTAAAGAAGAAATTCTAAATAAAAATGCAATTCTTTCTAAAGTAAAGTAAAGATGAGTACTGTAAGTTTTTGTACAGCGTTGCTCCTTCCAGTGTCACTGTGAGTCTCGAGCACAATAATAAACAGCAGAATCTTCAGTCTTCAGACTGTTCATCTGCAGATACACCTGCTGTCTGCTGTTGTCTCTGGAGATGGTAAACCGGCCTTGAACTGACTGGGAGTAGTACTTGCCACTACTGTCAGTATAGATCAAAGCAACCCACTCCAGTCCTTTTCCAGGAGCCTGTCTGATCCAGTACATATTATAGCTGCTGAATGAGAATCCAGAGCCTTTACAGGTCAATCTGTGAGATTCTCCAGGCCTTTTAACCACTGGTTCAGATTCTGTCAGAGTCTGACCATCAATACGTGTAAGAAAAAATCACATGACTGTAGTGTGTACACAACAATAGCCTATATATTAAAAAAAGATCAGTGAAGATGTTCACCTGCCCAGCAGATAGTTAACAGCAGCAGTCCTGTCCTATAGTCCATCATGTTAAACTGTGTGTCCACTGTTCTCTGTCATCCTCTCTGCAGTCAGATAAGTAGAGGTGGAAGACATCTGAGTTTTGCATTGACTCCTCCTCACAGGGAGGAGAAAGCTAGACTGGATATATGAAACTGGGGAATTAATGTCCAAGAGTCAACCCTCCAAGTCAGCTGTTTTGATGTTTGGCTAGCATGTTTAATTTATGAAAATGATGTGATGTGAATTGACACATATAGTTAATTTTGGTTTTGGCAAATACTATTGCATAATCCTTTGTATGATTCAGAAAATAATGCAAGACATCATATCCTTGTTTTGAGAGAAAATGTCCTGTCCCTTAGCCCCCTTTATAGTGTGGGAAACTTTAAGTTAAGACCCATGGCACAAATAAACTCAAACAGCACTCAATAAAGAATTCCATCTATTAAAACTGCAGTGGGTGATTTTGATTGTGGTCCTCCCAGTATTAAAAAAAAGCACAAATTAAAACAGAGACATAAAACAATGATATGAAGTCATTAGGAACACATTGCTTCAGAATGTCATGGCTGTAATCAGCAGAATGATTAAATCAATTTAAACAACAGCAGGGGCGGTCCTAGACCATTTGGTGCCCTAGGCGAGCTTTACTGATAGCGCCCCATCCCCACGAGAAAAGAACTCATGTTCAAAGAATTGCACATTTATTTAAACAATGATAATACAAACAATATAACAATATGTGCAAAATAATAAACCTGTTAAATAATAAATATACAAAAAATAAACTTTTAAACATATTTTTAACAGTAGTGCAATATCTGAGAACAAAAAGTGCACACTAAAGAATCAAAACTAAAAATTAAAATAACAATAAAACATTGTGTGCAAAATTAGATACTGTAAAATGC